GCACAGCCTGGAGGGAGAGGCTATACCTCATGGCATCTGTGTCCATTGCAAAGGCATTAGCTACCGTGGAAAATTTCAATAGAACTGGTATTTTCCTTTCTGAAAGACAAACAGCAAAGAGGTAGAAAACAGAGTAAAGAAAATTATTTTTATACTTGTTTGGAGTATTGTAAAATAAATGGAAGTTGATTTGGTGTGTTAAAGAATCAGAGTCAAAAGTTAATTTTAATAATGATGCATTTGCTTTTCTTAATGTGACATGAAATAATTACTATCATTTTATTTCTCCCAATTTCAGGGCAGTGGATAGCCTTGGGCTTTGGTTTAAAGAACAAGTAGATTAGACCTAGCATTTAAAGGAAATGATTAGTAGGTAAAATCGTTGTGTTTTATTTATTCAACAATGTATTTAGATATTAATTCAACCCCATGCTTAAGAATAAAAGCGGAATAGGCCCAACTAATGTTCTAGAAATAGTTGAGTAGGCCAGAGAGTAGTGAACCTGTATGCTGAAAGTTAGAGGAGCCAGGCAAACCACAGTCCCGGAATGTACAGAGAACAAGGCTAAGAAAACCAGGCCAGAGTGAAGAAAGATAAAGCAGAATGAGGAAGGGAAGAGTACGACAAGTGGCCTAAGTCCAAGGCAATAGTCTAAAGAAAATATGTACAAATACATATCTACAATAGCTAGAGTGTGCAGGGAAAATCAAGCAAGATATTGTATTAAAGCTATAACTATCAAAAAAAGAAAAGGAAGAAAATCTCTGTTAATGGAGACAATTTACACATCACCTCTATAAACTTTGTGTGATTCTTGATAAGTTGAGAACCAGTTCTGGTTGACTAGTTAGCTTTTAGAGATAAGTAGATGTGAATATGTGAGATTAGCTGGATGGTACAAAGACTACAATGAAGCAGAAACAGAAAAAGTATAATAGAGAAAATACAACTGAGAAAATCACTTACAATTAATCATTGGATTTATTTACCTTTGAAAAATTTATTAAAAGTTGCCACAAATATTTCTTTTATTTAACTCTGTATACGTAAGTAAAAATATACAAGAAAAATTTCAAAATACTTTAAAAATTAGTCACTTATACTTAAGTCAAATAAAACTGCACTTTCTTTAGAGGAAAACGACACGTTATATTAATAATAATGTGAGAACTGGTATTATGATTTCTATACAAATTTAATTGGGGAAAAGGGCTTATGTAATAAAAAGTTTTCACTGAAACTTCATTTGTGTTATTTTCTAGAGAAATACAGCAAGGGCACTTGATCAATATGAACCAATGTAAGAACTGAGAGGTTGAAAAGTAATTCCTAAAAACTGAAATATAATATGTAACCAAATAGGTTGCCATTGAGACTTTGCTGAACTCTATCTCTGATTCACAACACTCCCACTTACAACCTCAATATTGACTTAATAATAAACATTTCAGTTAAAAAAAATCACAAATCACTGGTATAATTAAATTATTGTGGGTAAAAATCTAGCAAACTACTTTATTTAATTATGTCAGGCTTTAAATATCTCTTTATCGGGTTACTATTGAATAAGGTAGATGGTGTATATACCATCCATCAGGAGACAGCCAATGGCCTTCAAACATGTAAGGTATCAATCTTCCTATTTGACATTGAGGCAGGAAAGGCTCCGAAAGATTAATGGGTTCAAACCTTCCAGCCTACGGGGCTTGAATTTACATAGTATTCCTGGCTACAGTGATCAGATTAATCAAACAGATTTCTCAAAGCATGGCAGCATGAAGTCAAAGAACTAAATACACACGGATGAAATAAAATAACAATATGTAAAATTTCCTTTATTCCCCATTTTTATGCTCAACTTTGAATCAAAACAACCAAAGGAAAATCCTACTGGGACGGTATTTATGTCTCGTAGTCAGGAATTGCTTGAAGTTAGAAGAGAATTTCATCTCTTAAATTGTGTGTCCTTCTTTCTCATTTTTTGACATTTTGCTACAAAGAAATAGAAGCCAAAGTCGATGCTGAACATGTCTGTCCACCACTACAAATGCATCTTGCTTCCTTAGAACAAGCACTTCCTCAACAGCGTGGAATTGGGGTTGCTATCACTATCTTTGATTAGACTAGATGTTCTTTGAAATAGAGGAAACATGAGACAAAACACTTATCTAAATATGACTTAGAAGCATCAATGGATCAGTTACATGCTGATGGCCAAGCAAGATTTGAAAGGGGGGAAAAAAGCAAGATAAACAAACAAAGACTAAAAATAATTTAGGGAGAATACAATTTAGGGATACAGAAGAAAGAAAGAGGAAGAAGAAAAGAACGAAGGTAAGGCTGTAAAAAGAAGAGAGAGTGAACAGAAAGGGAAGAAGAAGAAGGAATAAGAGGCAGAGAACATAGGGAGGGAGAAATCAGAAAAAAAGAGAGAACTATCAAGATAGTGAAATGTGGAATAGACCTGAAGGCAGAAATAGAATTTGAAAAATATTTTAAAAAACTGGGATTGGAGAATTATTTTTTAAAAAGCTGTAGGACACAGGGTCCTCGAAGACTGAAAACTGTGAAGGAAAATGTAAAAAAGTTCAAGTTTTCAATTCATTGCCAATTAAAAACAAAAAAACAAAGTTAAAAAACTCTTAATTACTCATGATATTCCTTGGCTAAATCTAACTTTGAATGAGATAATCCAAGCAAACTGCGCAGAAGAGTCTTAACACCTAGTGAATGCTCCATAATTGTTGGTTTTTAGTATTCTTCATAATCTAGTTTAGAGGTTTGCCAGATGGTGAAGAAATAGGGCAGAATATATTTGAGCCCCTATAAATAGAATTTATAATCTACATGTCAAACGATACTCGAAATGCTCTTGTAACCTGTGCTACATTTTAACTTTTTATTTTTTGTGAGGAAGACCGGCCCTGAGCTAACATCTGATGCCAATCCTCCTCTTTTTGCTGAGGAAGACTGGCCCTGAGCTAAGATCCGTGTCCATCTTCCTCTACTTTATATGGGGTGCTGATACAGCATGGCTTGACAAGCGGTGTGTCAGTGCGCACCCGGGATCCGGACCCCCAAACCCTGGGCCGCTGCAGCGGAGCGCGTGCACTTAACCACTTGCACCACCGGGCCAGTCCCCATTTTAATCTTCTACGTTTTTCACACATAAAAAAATCCTACATTATAAGATTGAAGCAAAATTCTTAATTTACATTGTTCTGTTGTTTAATTACATAAATAAAATATGTAATTTTATTTAATAATTATATAATGTAAAGAATTATATGCTATCCTTAATTTCTAGTGTAATTTTGGAAAGAAATCATTAAAGTCTCTGGATAGGCCCAAATGGCTCCCTATTATTTCTAAATAGTATTTCTTGGTAGGACAAATGTTAGAATTGTTTTCCCCATGTAGTTGAAGGAACGTCTGTAGAGTTAAGAACTGTGCGGGCATTCTAAGGACTGTTATTTTCAGCAGTATCATTCACATTTTACATGTATCAATTCAAAGACACAGGTGCACACATTTGCTTGTCAATTATTGACGACCAGAGGGTTCTTCAAGCCTTTTTTCCTTAAAGAATTTTAAAAATGGAAAAGAAAGGGGGAAATAGTATTTTTTTGTTACACAAATAATTCTAGGATAATAAAATACAGGATAGAATATAATTATTAAAAATATGTAAAATTGCAAGGAAAGTTTAAGCCATTTTATAATGGAGAACCACACTGATTCACTGTGGTTCAAAGCCCTCCAAACCTAAATGCAACGTATTCCTTCTCCCACTAGTGTTCATGGAAACGCACAGCTTTGATGTCTACTTTTCTCTGGATCTTGTGATAGCCCGAAAGTAAAAAGATTATGGCTTTTGCTCAACTAAACAGAGTCTCAAAGTTGATGTTTTCTTGCATTTACCTATCAAGTTTCTTGGAACCACATCTTATTGTGTAGGTACTTAGCAACACTTATTTTGCGTCCTGGATTATCACGTGCTGTTTCAGTTTTGTCAATTCAAGCGGAAAGGAAACAGTTGTTTATGGGGCACTGTGGCCTCAAGCACTGCATTAAACTTCATCCTGTTCATATCTAACTCACACAAGAATCTTGCAAGGTGAGAATTTTGACCTGTTTAACAAGTGCGGAAACTGAGTCTGAGGGTTAGTGAGTTTCCCAGGGTTATTTCCCAAGGTTATTCCACGGTCTTGTTAATTCCAGAGTTCTGATGCTTTTCACAATTCTACATTGCTTTATAAGCAGCAGAGATCGTGAATTAGCACAGAGTTTTACAATTTAGGATTCAAGCTTCTTAGTCTTTGATATATTGCAACTAACTAATAAGCCTTTTTGTCTTGTCCTTATCACCATAAATCACATTCTCTCTGCTTAAAATTGGGGAAGTGTTTTGTAGTGTCTACAATTTATTTTGAAATCTGTGACTTACTACTTACTGAAATGTTACTTAAAATCCAGTTCTCTGCTAATCAGAATAACGAATGCTCAAAAATGGGTTTTTGTCAGTAAAGATCGTATTCTGTTGTACGGTGTGATGAATGTTACCGAAACAGTACGTAAAACATTTACCAGCTTAAACTAGTTTTGCTTCTTTAAAACAGATTATTTTAATCAAACCTTGCTCAATAACAGAGACAGCACTGTGCATGTGCCAGGGAGGAACTCATAGCCCCAGGATGACCCCGGAACCAAGAATCTTCAGAAATGTTGCCACCTGAGTCTTACAAAGCAAAAGTTTTTCAATAAGGAAAATCTAGCTTCCAGAAATCCAAGTAGCTTGATTGCCGTATATGGACTGATTCGAGACTAGCCAATCAGCTTACATAGGCCCAGCTGCACCTTAGTAGACCCTAACTCCTTAAATTTCACCCTGAGACTTGGATCTAGGAGACAGATTTGAGAGCTTTGCCTCCTGTCTCCTTGATGGTTGAGCCTTTCCTTTTCTCAAAAGCCGGTGCCATAGTATTGGCTTCTATGCAAGTTGTGTAGTGAACCCTTGCTTGGTAACATTAGCGATAAGATATCCATAGTAAAATTAAAGGTATTCAGGTTATTTTGGTTGACAGAAAATATTTTGAAGGCATCCCCTTCAAAATAGGCATCCCCTATGTTTTGTGCAAACATAGTATAAGAATCCACTGAAGCCTGTAGGCTTTACTCTCAAATATGAATCATAAGGGTTAACCCCTAGTGTCCCGCTGTGGAAGATTTCTCGATGCCAGATGTCAGCTATAAGGCAGAGAACCTTGCCTATGGAAATGTGTTCTATCTGCCACAAGGATTGGAGCTCCTGGGAGAACAAGTTGCCGGGACTTGACCCTACAGTTTGCTAATAAACATTTGTTTCATAAGCATTTGTTTGAGGGAGAAAATTTGTTCTTAAGGCTTGCATTTTAACCAGGCCTATGGGGATGGGGGCATAGCTAAGCCTCATTCATCTCAAAGATTTTTGGTGCCTCCTATCTATCTCTCAAAAAAGTACTTCAGAGAGGTATGGGGTCAAATTGCCTTAAGGCAGTTAGCGACAGTTTGTGCAATGACATATAAGATGCTTTGAATATATACAGAAGCAGGAATCTACACTCAAAAGTCTTTTGGACTTGGAGAGAAATTCAAGTGCAATTTTGTTGCTAGGATATAAAGCACCACAAAGTTTACTATTTAACCATCAACTTTGTATTTTCTTTTTTTTTCCAAACCCTTTGTTTTCAATAGCATTCTCATTGGCATAATACTCTATTATACAGACATACTTATACCTCATAAAGCAATTTACTGAGTAAAGGATTCCTTATCACTCCTTCCTTCCAGCAGGACTGGTTTTCTAATTATGACAACACGGAGAGGGAAAACATCTGTGCTGTCAGGGCTGAACAGCAGCAGCTCTTGGTAAGTGAAGAAAAGAGCTTTCAGATGCTTTAAATATTTGAGGGATTAAATGAAAGTTTGCTACTGATGTCTCCCTGAGTAGTCCTTTGGGAGACTTGAGAGAGATTCTGGATGTGTGTAACAAAATGAATCGAAATTTAAGAAAAAGAAAAAAAGAGGCATTTACTGTACAATGAATTTTAATAGCAGTTTACAGCCCCCAAGTTAGGTTTACTAAATGGTATTAAAATTACCAAGAAATCTTTCCATATATTCTGTAGGCTCAACTATTGATTCATAAGGACATTACAAAATGCATTAGCATTAAGTCAAATCAGTGGACCAACTCACCCAATGTTAACTTGGCTGTGGCAATACAAGTCTTAATTGACACCACTCTCAAAGCAAGAATACCTCAATTGCTCGCTATATCACTTCAGAAAAATCCTAAACTCTTTAGCATGATATCCACAACCCTCAATGATTAGCCTGGTCCCACACTCAGTTTATTCACCACCCCCTCCAGATCTGTAAACTTTCCCCTCTTTCTACCTGGAGCCCTAGCTCCCTAGTGACTGTCTATACTGATTTCTCAGTCATCAAGTCAGGTTGCATGGAACCCTGTGCATGGTGCCAACTGGCAAAGAAAGACTACCGCTGACCAACTGATCAGGCTAGATGTCTACACCCGGAGCCACTATGTTTACTGTGTCTCTAGTGAGTAAGTACATGAATGAGCAAATGAGTAGGTGAGTAATAATACCATCAAAGTTCTCTTAAAACTTGGCATTCACAATTGCAAAAAATACTCCAGGTCTCATGCACTAGTGCTTCCCCAAAATGAAAATAAAATTTTCATGCAAATTCATCTCTACTACCTTTAACAGTGATACCAAACATTAAATTGATTATTTATTTATTTTTTGCTTGAGGAAGATTAGCCCTGAGCTAACATGTGTGCCAATCTTCCTCCACTTTATGTGTGGGTTAATGCCAAAGCATGGGTGATGAGTGGTGCAGTTCCACGCCCAGGATCCGAACCTGCGATCCCAGGCCGCCAAAGGGGAGCGTGCCAACCTTAACCACTACACTATGGGGCCAGCCCCTGAATTGGTTATTTTTTTTCTTTCTTTTTGTGAGGAAGATCAGCCCTGAGCTAACATCCTTGCTAATCCTCCTCTTTTTTTGCTGAGGAAGACCGGCTCTGAGCTAACATCTATTGCCAATCCTCCTCCTCTTTTTCCCCCAAAGTCCCAGTAGATAGTTGTATGTCATAGCTGCACATCCTTCTAGTTGCTGTACATGGGACGCGGCCTCAGCATGGCTGGACAAGCGGTGTGTCGGTGAGCGCCCGGGATCCAAACCCAGGCCACCAGTAGCGGAGTGCGCACACTTAAGTGCTAAGCCATGGGGCCGGCCCCTGGTTATTTTTTTGAAGCACTATATTGGTCACACTTTCAATGACTTCTAGACTTTTGCCTTGACCTGTAAGTGAGAGAGAAAAGTTTATCATTGTGATAGTTTTTGGACTCTTTTTCAAATGTTTCACCATATGCTGTACTGGTTCTCACTAGAACATACGGTTCCTACATACCAAATCACATAGACCCAAAATAAGCTCCATAGTTCATTCTTTGTTACTTGGCACTTCCCCAAATCAAGATACATTCTTTTGCAAGTCTGGAAATTTCTCAGAAAAACAGTTTTATCCAGACCATTTATAAGAAAATATTAAATGAGATTGTTCATATTACTTAATCTAAAAACTGCAATATTACACTTAGAGATTTTTTCTGAGCATACTATAGAGCAATGATACAAATAAAAAATGAGAAAACAGGGGCCGGCCTAGTGGCAGTGTGGTTAAGTTCGCACACTCTGCTTTAGTGGCCCAGGGTTCGCAGGTTTGGATTGTGGGCATGGACCAATGCACCACGCACCATGTGATGGCATCCCATATACAAAGTGGAGGAAGATGGGCACAGATGTTAGCTCAGGGCCAATCTTCCTCACCAAAAGAAAAAAAAAAAAAGAAAGAAAAGAGAGAGAGAGAAAACATATTATATGGCCATGAAAAAAATTAAAATATTATCCTAATGCAAAACACGATCATTGGGATTAGGATTATATTTAGTCTCTGCATATTATTTAATCTGGGTCTGTGAATAGGCTAAAATTGCTCCAATTCTTCAAAGCTCTATATTTTCAAGACATGGTGAAAGTAAGTACATTACAATCATTGGATCTTGTTTATACACATTCACATTGACCTTCGACAATTTATTAGGCATAGGTTTCCTGCTAACGTCCAGGCTAAGTTCCTTCTTTTTATCAGTACACATGTGAACTTGTGCAGATCTTTTTTTTTTTTTGTAATTTTTTGTTTATTGCTGTAACATTGGTTTATAACATTGTATAAATTTCAGGTGTACATCATTGTACTTCTATTTCTGCATAGATTACATCATGTTCACCACCCAAATACTAATTACAACCCATCACCACACACACGTGCCGAATTATCCCTTTCGCCCTCCTCCCTCCTCCCTTCCCCTCTGGTAACCACCAATCCAATCTCTGTCTCTATGTGTTTGTTTATTGTTGTTATTATCTACTACTTAATGAAGGAAATCATACGGTGTTTGACCTTCTCCCTCTGACTTATTTCACTTTGCATAATGTCTTCAATGTCCATCCATGTTGTCGCAAATGGCTGGATTTCATCGTTTCTTATGGCTGAGTAGTATTCCATTGTGTATATATACCACATCTTCTTTATCCATTCATGCCTTGATGGGCATAAAGATACATGCACCCCTGTGTTCATTGCAGCGTTATTCACAATAGCCAAGACTTGTGCAGATCTTTTCTGAGCTCTTTCACATAAGAGTCACGATGACTAAATGCAGTGTGATCATAGCAGAAAGCATATGGGCTGAGGGTCAGAAGACCTGGAGGTGGGTTCTGAACCTTACACATTCTGTTTGTGTGCAATCACTTCACTCATCTGATCCTCAGTCCCCTCATCTGTAAGGTGGAAATAATGATGCTAAACTCCTTTTTTACTAGCTTTGAAAATTTCAGGATACACTACAGGCCATCTAAATCAGATTCATATGTCAGATTCATCTCCTACAAATGGAAGTAATCATTGAGTGCTTAATATGTGCCAGACTTTATGCTAAGCGCTTTACTTGAATGATCTTATTGAAAACTCATTAAAAAGCTATAAAGAAAGTATTATGATTCCCATTTACATCAAGAAAGCTGAGTCACAATGAGCTTAAGTAATTTGCCCAAGTGTTGGAATTGATGTATTGAAATGAATTGAACCATTTTTTGGATACAGGTGAAAACAACGACTTCATTTGACAGGCCAGGGAAAGAGAAGTGAATCTTTTAGTGCAGCAATGACTATCTTCGGAAATAAAAATCACAATTATTGGCAGTATAGAAAGACAAAATAGGAATGAAAATAAAATAAATGCTTTGGATAAAAACATACAAACAAACAAGAATTCAAAAAGAGGATTCCAGTTTCTAGGATTTAATTTGCAAATGCAGTTATCATAAAATCACAAATCTCAACGTTTTCAGGTCTTAAGGTTGCTAGTCCAATGCTACTGTTTTTAACAAACTCATATTCTCATCCCCTTGGCAACATTCTCCAGAAACAGGCTTCTAGATCACTCATCTTCAGCTGCTCTGTTTCTCTCTGCATACATGATGAATGTTATTCACAGTCACCATAAACACACATGGACTTAGGTGCTAAGACAAAAAAAAATCTATGAGTTATGTGCAATTCTTGCTATGATAGTTAGTAAAATACTCCTTTTACTCCCAGTTAAGTAATAGTGATGACCTTATATAAAAACCCTATATTTGTCTTTATTTTGAAAGGAAACCCTTCCAAATTTTAGTGATTCAAATTATAGTAGAAGCAAATTCCTCCAACACAACAGCCTGTCGTGATGCCGATGTTAAAATTCTCTTCTGCCCTGTGTTTCTGCAACTCAAGTGACAGGTGATATCAATTTGCTTTTGGTTCAAAGTGACATAAAACTTTAACATAAATAAAATTGAAAGTTCACTTTTTCATGTAGTCACTGAGTCAGAGACATAGCTTACTTCAGGTATGGTTTAATCCAGAGGTTAATCATGGGATCAGGGTCCCATTTTCTTTTCTAGGCTATTTTTCCTGTTTTTCTCTTCCCAATGCCCACTCTATCCTCAGATTGCCCCCTCCTGACACTATGTAGCACAAATATTTGCACTAGTTTCACACTCCACATTCATTGTCATACCCAGTGATCAAAGAGGATGCATATTTGTCCCCCAACTCCCAGAAAGGATTCTGAGACTCACTCTGTTGGGATTAGTTTAGGTCACGTGCCAAACATGAGCCACTTACTATGGCCTAGAATGGAATGCATTGATTGGGTTAGCCCTGATCAGGCATTTTAAACCTGGAGGACAGAGTCAAGCTGGCCTCCCTGAAACCACGTAGATCCACCCCAAACCCCACCAAAAAATCAGAAGCTGTTGGAAAGAGGTAAAGGAAGCTCATGCAGGAAATATAACCTGAAAAATCCACTCTTGGAAACAAACTCTCTCTGAAAAGAACTCCCTCCACTTTTAAACAGCCAGATAGAAAATGCTTTTCTTTCTTAAGCCTATTTTTTTTGCCCATAGATTCCACCCATTAATCTGTGTACTTCCCTTGCAGGTCCACAGAACAGATAATAGCCTTGCCATATGCTCTCTATGGCTGATATTTATCAACAGGTTATCTTATTCTTACAGTTTACTTCCTTGAATAGTAAAACTTTAGCTTCTGTTATTTTTGATGCACTTAAATAAGGATATCTCATGAAAATAAGCAAAAGGTATGTTAATATGCAATTTATCTGCTGATTTCCAAGGAAATCTAGTGATTCATGAGGGCCTATGTTGATATTTCATAAAGAAAAGATATTTCTACTATAAGTGTTAATCAAAACGCATTCAGCAGTCTGTACCTTATAGGATAGATTTTAATGAATGTGACTAGCCTCTTTATTTCTGGATGGAGAAAAGTGGACTTTAACTTCTTCAATGACAGATTAATAGAGGCACATTGGGGCAGCTGAAGTTCTCGGGCCTTGAGTGCAATCATTTTAAGCCCTTAGTTCTTCACAACAGGAAGTCAGAGAAAGTGTTGTCAGTTCTCTTTTTAGTTTATTGAAAGGCCTTCCCACTCTGCAGGAGCTTAGAGATATAACTAGATGCTTGCCTCTCCCTAGGACTCCAAAATGACATTCCCTTTGGATAAATCTTTTAAGATTCCCTTATCATAGTTCAATCATTCTTATAAAAGTGTTGTGCCTTTCCCACACCAGCTCGTCTCATTTTTCATGGAAAGGAACTATCTCTTCTTTTTCTATAGTAGGAGTGGAATTTGACCTTAAAGGAAGCAAAAAACAGGCCTAAAAGCTAGGAGGCTTCTTGGAGTGTTGCTTTGAACTACACTGGGCATTAACCACAGAAGAGTATTGAGAATCACACTAGTGGTTTCTCTTCATCCCAGACCTGACAAATGAATTGATAGATGTGACACAAGGCATTTTATTTCTAGTTAACAGATGGTGTGTTCAATTAGATGTTAGTACATTTTGAATTGTGATAGGTCTACTGGAAGAGAAATTTGTGGTGTCTCAACCATGAAAATAAAACTACTCTAAATTCAATTTTGAATGAAATGCTCTTTTTCAATCTTACTATGAGTAGAATTGATAATCAAAAATGGCTTTACATATACACGTACTACATATTTTCAATTAAATTGCCTAATCATTGCAGGAAAGATTCACATATTTCATTATATTAGTCATGGCAATTACTGAGAACAACATTGAAAAATACAATCACTTAACAACTTATTAGGGAAAGAAAAAACAGTACGAGCCTGAGATCTAATTGTTTAAACTGTCATACTTTAGAATATAAGTGGACACCAGCTGGACAACTTAATCTTTGAAAACAGTTGGTTCAATCCAGAATATATTGATAACTACAGCAAGTTGGCAGTTTATTGTTATTAGGTTAGAATATGATTATTTAAAAGAAAATTGTATAGCTTTCATATGTCTTTTGAATTATCTATTTTAAAAGCCTATTTTTTAAAAGAATGGATAATATGACTATCTTTTTTCATTAATAATTAACTCAATATTAAAATTTCAGAGTTGTAGAAATGGTCTCTTTCTTCCTAATAGGGACAGTAAAATATATATTATAATGAAATTAGGGGGTCAGACTCCCTGATGAAATAACATTCTTTACAGTTACGAATGTTTATGACTCAAAATACAGAATTTAGACACTTTGTAACCACAAATTAGCATTTTATCTAATAACATGGATTAAAAGGTTTATGCAAGAAACCATATTTTCAGTATCATGAAACTAAAGATATGTTTCTGAGAGTTTTAGCTAACCAATATGGGAAATAACAATAGTTGTGAACTTACTAAGTGTTATGAGTTGAATTGCACCCTCCAAAAGGATATATTGAAGTCCTAACCCCCAGTTCCTCAGAAAATTATCTTATTTGGAAGTAGGGTGGTTGCAGATGTAATTGGTTAAGACGAGGTCTTACTGGTGTAGGGTGAGCCCTTAATCCAATATAACTGATGTCCTTACAAGAAGATATGAAGACACAGGGAGAGAATGTGACAATGGAGGCAGGGATTGGAGTTTTGCCCTTGCAAGCTAAGGAAAGCCATGGATTACCAGCAACACCAGAGCTAAGAGACAGGATAGAATAGACTCCCCCCAAGAGCCTTTGAGAGATCACGGTCCTACACGCACACTGATTTCAGACTTCTAGCCTCCAAAACTGTGAGAGAATAAATTGCTGTTGTTTCAAGCCATCCAGTTTGTCATACTTTATTATGGCAAATCTAAGAAACTAACACAGATTTTAAAGCAATAGAAATTTATTGTTTCACAGATCTGGAGGCTAGAAGTCCAAAATCAAGGTTTTGTCAGGCTCATGCTTCCTCCAAAGCCTCTACGGGAAGATCTTTCCTTTGCTTCTTCCAGCTTCTGGTGGCCCCAGGTGTTTCTTGGCTTTGGCATCATAACTCCAAACTCCACTGCTATCTTCACGTGGCCCCCTTCCCTCTGTATCTGTGTCTTCACACAGTGTTCTCCTCCTTGCGTCTCTCTTTTCTTATGAGGATACCAGTCACATTGGATTAGGACCTTCTATAGTTCAGTAAAACCTCGCCTTACCTTGATTACACTTGCAAATACTCTACTTCTGTATAAGGTGACATTAACAGGTACTGGGGGTAAGACTTCAACGTATCTTTTAGTGTGCCACAGTTCAATCCGTAACAGTACACAAAGAAATTTAAGGTTAAAATGCAATTGAAATATGTTACATTTCAATCATCCATATAATTCTAGTGTATACTCTCCAACACCCCCTTTGAAAGGTAGCATAATCTACAATCTAAATCAAACTTCATAGACTATAAGTTAAAATTGATTGCTAGACATGTGTTAGTTTATGTACCATCTGAAAGAAAAAGAAACACTGCCAATTAAACTACAACACAGTGCTTTCTCAGCATTTGAGTTGTATGCTTATTAAAGCCTTCTTTTAGACTTAATTGGACATGTATTTTTTTTTCATATGTTACTTTCGTGCATATATCAAAAGAAAAATAAAAGCAAAATAATTTGGTTAATGATTTCTAAAATTTCTAAACTCCCATAATGCTATTCTTTTGAATCAACCAACTTAAGAGTCAAAGATGCTTATTTTTTCCCATACAAAATCATCTTCAGTGTTATCAACAGCATTGGCAAGATAAAATTACTAGCATATTTCAATAACATTACTAAACATCTGATCACCAGGACACCCTCTCTTCACACAGCCATTTGATTTCTGGGAGGTAATACTCAGGATTATCTTTCAGTCCAGAGACAACTATTCTTCAAGTTTAATGCTGACGATTTCTGATGATCAGGAATGCGTGGAAAATTAATTATAATAGTAATTTTAAGACAATATCACATGAAAGAAACCTTCCAATTTCAAAGATATTACAATGTGAAAAGAAAAAGTTCCTAAAAAATAAAAAAATAAGATTTCTGATCCTTTTTAGTGACAGAAAATTCAGTATTTCAAAAAGTGGTCTATTGTTTAGATAATTATTCCTCTGAGAAAGCTTTCCCAATTGTCGAGCTAAACTCCGACCTGGTAGCTTTAAACTGTTTCTTGCAATTCTGCCAAGTGCTATCTCACCCAGATAACTTAATAGATCTTCTAAAAGAAGGTCCTCCAATTATTTTAAACAAATGACTCAGTTTCTATCCTCCTCCCACAAGAGTCTTCTCTTGGGTTAAGCATATTCATTTCTTCAAAAATATTCCTGATATCAGTTCTTGAATAAGCACTTACCGAATGAGTCATATGTGACAGGTATCATGTTAGACACCGGAGAAGCCAGTCTTGACAAGTTGTGTGTATGTGTCCACACACATGTGCGTGTAAGTGCTTACAGGTTTGTGTATGCCTTTTCAGGGGCACTGAAGTGACTGACTGGTTGTATTGATGCTAGGGGTAGAGGGAGTGCAATGTTCAGGAGAGAGAGGAGCAAGTTTAAAGTCCGTGATGCAGGAAGGTGTTTCGTGTCCTTGAAAACCAGATGGAAGGTCTTGTGGCACATGCTCACAAGTTTAAGATTTAATTCCAAGACTAATGAGATGCCAGCCTCTATTGACTGGCGTTCAGAATATGACATAGCTTTAAGTCACCTGTCTGTTCTGTTTTTATCCTGTAAAAGCCCTTCCAGTTGTCAAAGATCTTTTAAAAATGTGACATCTAAATCTGAATGCAGTGCTGCAGTTCTCTTTCTGCACACAGCAAAACAGAATGTGATTCTCACTATCTTGCATTTACAATGTTGGAACTATAAATCTTTCTCTATTTAATTTCTTCTAGTTTTGCCATCCCAGACACTTGAGATCATTTTGGATTCGGATCCTTTTATCCTTCACAACCAAAACAGTCAGTGTTCCGCATCAGCTCCCCACCACCTGCTAGTATCTTTTCATATGTTTAAGTCATTGATTAAAAAACACGTTAAATGGGACACAGTCAAGGACCAGGTCTTACAATGACACTTAAAAGTTTTCTGTGTGTTAATATTGATCAATAACTCAATATTTTTGGGGGGAAGGCCATTCAAAAAGTTGTAAATTAATCAATTTATACTACAAAAATTCATATGTCTTCATCTTTTTTTCAAAGACATCTTAAGGAAACATCATACAACTTACCATATTGCTTAACTATATTATTTAGTTTCTGAATGCTTTTTTTCTTCTTTTCCACTGAAATGTGAGTCTAATAGAAACTTTAAAAAGTTTATGATATGATTCATTCTAGGAAGAAAACGTGCTGTCTCAGGGAGTATATTCAAAGGAAGTTTCCCTGAAATTAAGAATTTTCAGTGTGATGGTACTAAGAACTCTTCAAGAGATGCTTCTGTAAGGACTTAAGCTGGAGACTGAGATTCCTTTGTATCTTCCATGCACTGAGGCCATGTTCCTAACCATTAATTGAGCATGTCAGGGTGTAGAACTGCACTATTTCGGTTCAACATAGGAGTCTTAAGTGAGTAAGCTTTGCTTGGGGACTCCATATTTTTATGACCAAAATTTTCTCAGAGCTGTGCTACTATCTGAGACTCTTTCAACAAAAACTTCATTCTTTTCATCATTTATTTAACAGATCAGACCCACATTGATGGCTACAGTTTCTCCCTGCCTATGAATTGCCTGCTCTCCTCTTTATTGTTTACAGGCATTCCCTCAAAAAATTCTCATTCACATCTAACTCTGTCCTAGTGTATGCTTCTCAGAGGACTCAGAGTGATGCAAATACGTTCTAAAATACTATCAGGATGATATGAAACCTCTTCATCTCGGGTCTATGTGCCCAATGCATAGCAGAAGCCAGTCACTGAGACACTGCTGCTTGGAGATAGAAAAGGGTTTATTCAAATTGGCCAAAATGAGAAGGCAGGAGAGAGCAGGTTCTCTCAGATGCCCCTTAACAAAAAAAGAAAGCAAGGAGTCTTTATAGTGATAAGGGGCTCCGGAGGAGGAGTTTCAGGGAAACAAAGGGGAAGTCTGTGTTTCTTTCACATCAGATAAGACCTTGAGAAACCAGACTTCTTGGTGTCATTGGCAGCTGGGGTCTGGTCACCTGATGATTGTAATTTCCTTAAAGGCATTCTTTTTCTTTTGCAAAACAAGATCATCAATCCTCGTGATCATTGAGTCACCCCTCCAGTTAGAAAAGAAAACAGCAAATTAGCAAATTATAATTATGTGTGGGCTATGAAACAAGCATTTGGGCTCAACAAATATATCTAATGGAGATTGAGGTTATTTATTTAGGATTTATATGGATACTAACTTCTTTTCATCTGTGGCTGTGTTGGGAACAGGGTCAAAGGGTAACCCTGTTCTTATGGAATATTTACAGTAACCCTCAGGTACCTGGCTTCAAAGACTTAGTCCACCAGGCCTCCCAGATTTGCTTACTCTCTTCATTGCTGGAAGGCTGTTTCTCCTTCATGGAGTTGTCTTCTAGATGTTCACTCTCATTTTCTTCTCTTAACGTGACCAAATAATTCACTCATGTATTCCCTTCCTTGTAAATCCTTCCAATAGGCCCTCTGGATCCCTAAAACATGATCATCCAACTCTTCTACGTCTCAGCAGCACCTCAAAACATTCCCATCATCTCTTTACTTTAAGTGAAATGCGACTGTGGCCAGGGAGCACTGCCTTCTCATCCACCACCTGAAGAGCTATTTTTGTCTAACACACATTGGTAGGATAATTGTATTCCTTATTTTTCATTTGTATTTCAGAATGCTAACCTTCTACCCTCTTGCAGAAAACCTGCTTTCCTGATATTCACAACTACCAGAGATACAAGGCTCTTCTCTTCATCTGTAGACTTCCTGGTATCACCCCTTGATTTCAGTGAGTGACCCTACTGATTCAATGAAAATTTCAGTTATCAAATTGATTCACAGTTTCCTTTTCCCTATGAACTCCAATAATTCTTACTGGAGCCATAAGCGTCTTTGTGAATGATCCAGCTAGTATTCTGATCTCAGTTTCTTCACTTTCTTATCATCAATCATTGATGACCTTCCCTCTCCCCAACACATTATATTTCAGACACTCAATTCCAAGGTCACATTTCAGAATTTATCACCACCAAATTCTAACTAATGTCAAAATCCCGAATGCATGAATTCTATTCTATCACCACAATTCCCTGTCCTTCCTCTCTACTTACTCAATTATTTCTGCTTAAATATTTTTGAACATATGATGACCTCCACTTTATTCATGTCATCGATTTCTTACTATCTATCAACAACCTCCTGTCTTCTCTTGCCACTTTATCCAGGTTAGTCTATGATCCATCATTTTAATCACACCCAAATCACATAACCTAGCAGACTGAGTTCACATTAAAATCATAATTCCATGTGTCAAAAGGACTCTAAACACAGCTTGGAAATCTCAGCACTATGTTCCTTAAGAAAGTACACATTTCCTTCCAAATTTCCCAAATTACCCTGCTTTCTATGTCTCATCACTGTATCAGCTAATAATAATAATTTGTATTTTAATGAGATCACAATATTTAAAAAGTATACATTTCACTTCCTATTCTCACCTAATAATTTAACTGTGCACATTTTTACCTTCATCTGTCCTTTCATATCCAACAAAGCATTTTTTCAATCAAAGGCCCGTTGCTCAATATATAATCTTTTTCCCATTCTCTCTTGTCTTTTTTAAGGATTTTGAATCTTAAATTAATCTATATTTTATTAATCTCACTATCCTTTTACATATTTTT